ACCCACTTTTTGAAATTTTTTCCGTGTTTTGAGCTACATCTGGCAGTGTTCGGGGAACCATATGCACTACTGGGAATTGAACCCCAGGTCAGCCACATGCAAGGCAAACAAACACCTTACCCCCTCTACTCTCCCTCAGGTCCTGACCTACATTTTTTTTTTAAATTACTAAGAAAGCAATGTAAGGTCCATGTAGAAAACTTGTTAGAAAAAGAGAAATGGAAAAAAAGTTAAAACCTTGCCATTTCAAGCACTTACACAAACTGTTGACATATTGGTATTTGTCCTCTCAACATTTTTATCAAAATAAAAATATTAGGGCTGGAGAGATAGCACAGTGGGTAGGGCGTTTGCCTTGCATGCGGCCGACCCGGGTTCAATTCCCAGCATCCCATATGGTCCCCTGAGCACTGTCAGGAGTAACTCCTGAGTGCAGAGCCAGGAGTAACCCCTGTACATTGCCGGGTGTGACCCAAAAAGCAAAAAAAAAAAAAAAATCAAATTTGAGAGAACCATTAAGTATTTTGCTGTTTTTGTTTTGGGACCACACCCAGCTAAATTCAGGGTTGTTCTGGGAACTATGCAGTGCCACGACTTAAACTGGGGGTGGCTGCATGTAAGGCAAGCGTGTGCTAGCAAGGCCTGCACCTCAACCATGAAGTGTTAATGAGTGATAAGAGGAAGCGATGCTCACAGGTCTTCGAGTCTCGTAGTTTAAGCACAGTAACGAAACGGCACTAGACTTTACAGTGCATAATCTTCAGAAACAAACAAGGCAGCTCTGACTTTTAACGTTTACTTCCTCAGTGGTACTGACCTTTACTTCTCATCATGCCAAGGGAAAGAATCATGTTCTTTTGGGCAGAAGTATAGGACAATCAGAGGGTTAGGATGATGCTATTCTTCAGAAGAGCAGATCATAATATCTGGAGGAAGAGCATTTATTAACCAAAAGAAACCTGGGGTGGTGGTGAAGGGGCATGAGGAAGTGAGTAGAAACTGGGGTGAATGCAGGAGGCATATCTGGTAGTGCAGGGTTCCCCCAGCCATAACCTCCCAACCCTGAGCCAGGGAGTAGAGGCCCCATTCCCACACCATAGAAGTAGTGTGAGGCACATAACCCCACAATAAATAAAATAAATGGGAAAAGAAAACCTAGGGTTTTTTTGTTATTATAATTATTAATATATATATATTTACCAAACAAGGTCATTTTATTTTTTCTTTTCAGCACACTGTTCTTTGGTCCCTTTTGCCTGGATGCCAAAGAGTCAGGCGTTGGCTTGGGCTACTTTGTCTTTTCTTTGATAATCCTGGCATGCTTAACCTGGTGGACACTCTGGATGGGTAAGGCAGATTCCGTCAGCTGCAAGGCAAGTTTCAGTTCTTCAGCAGAGCTGCTTACCTTCTTGGGTGCTCAGGAAAGATGAGGGCCTTGGAACAGTACTCCTTCAGTTTAGCTCTCCAACAGTGCTCAAGATCACTCCTGGCAGTGCTGGCAGACTATATGTGGTGCCAGGGATAAAACTGGGATTAGCCAGGCTGGAGCAATAGTACAGTGGGTAGAGAATTTGCTTTGCATGAGGCTGACCTGGGTTCAATCCCAGGCATCCCATATGTTCACCCGAGCATGGCCAGGAGTGATTCTTGAGAAACTCCACACTAACTAAATAGCAGGAGTAAACCCTGAGCACCCCTGGGTGTGACCCAAAAAGCCAAAAACAAACAAACAAACAAACAAAAAACCTGGGATTGGCAGCTTTAACCCATGTACAATCTCTCTGACCCTTAATTTAGTCCTAGAAAGAAGAGAATTGAGGTACTCTGAAAGAAGACAATTAACTGTCCATTCATAGAGCTAGTTAGTGGTCAGGAGACAGGCAGAACTTTAACCCAAGACAATCCCTAAATTAGTCTAGTTCTGTAAGAATAGAGGCAGAAGGATATTTTAAGTTTCCCCATTAGGTTTGAAGTGGTACAGAAACAACAACCACAAAAACTTTCCTAACAGTTACTGAGCTGTGTCAGTCTACAATGGCACTTCACATACATGGTCAGATTTAGCCTTTACAAAAACCTCATTTAAGGGATACTATTTTTAAATCAACTTTAGAGGGGGATGAAACTGAACCTCAGCAAGTCTAAGGCATTTACCCAACATCACAGAGCTAGTAAGTGGCTGAACTGGGATTTGAACTCCAGCCTGTCCGTCTCAGAACAGAATCAGATAACAGAGGTAACTCTTAGAGATTCTTGCAACACGCAAACACTAAATAAATAGCAGCCATCATTATTTACTGTGACTGTTGTGAATATAATAAAGTGACTTGTGATTGGCTGAACTGTTTTTAATCTCCTTGACTAAGAAGTCAAGAATTAGACTTCATCAAGGGGCTGCCTATGTGACAGGGAGTAGGAAAGGGGTGGGAGTGGGAGCAAAGCCTGGGTAGTGCCTAAAACCTTGGCATCTCTGAGTCATGCAGTGAAGGCCTGGAACAGTTCCTGCCTCCTAACTGGAAAGCGGTGTTCTTATTGGAGGAGCCTCGTAGGGCCCTTGTAAGCTGCCTCACGGTGGCTTTGCCTACCTTGCCTTGGACCACTAGTCCCTCCATCTCATCCTGGATGTCTAAGGGAGCCATTCTGCCCCATGATTTGGGCCTCTGCTGATCTCTGCAGATGGGTGCGGGTGATTAAAGAGGCAAGATCCAGAGGGAGAGGGAGAGGACCCATTTAAAGAATCCCAGCGAGCACAGACACGCCACCTGAAATCGCAGCCTCCACCTGAGCGCAGCGAGCATGACTCACTCCCGCAGTGCTTTACCTAAAATTGCAACACAGCTGACAGAAACTCCACAGCCAGCCAGGAGGCAGGCAGACTGGCACATGGAGAAGTGTGCCATCCTTTGGTCTGCAGTAAGCTTTGCAGCTACAGCTGACACCAAAGGACCCTCCTACTACCTATAACCTCTGTGAAGTGGTGGGACACCCCAGCCCTGCTCCCAGAGCAAAGGCCCGCTCCAGCTCTGCTGCTTTCCGGCCTTGTGGTCTGAATAGCTCGCTTAGTCACTTAATACCTCAGTTTCTTCATCTCTAAAAGGATAATAAAAGTGCCTATCTCATGGATTGTTCTGAGGATTAAATGAGATAATACAGGGAAAGCTGAACTAAATGTCTGGCACATGGGGTGGATACAGCACTTATGTGTGGTTTAGGATGTTGAGAGGGGAACAGGACAAGTTCTTTGCTTGCATGAAGTTCACATTGCCGAGGAAAGAGAGGGAGACAATAAACAATCACAAATATTATCAAGATGTCCGAAGGATCCTGCCGAGAGCCAAAATACAGCAGTCTGATTGTCACTGAATGTCTTCTTCCACAAGGGCACCCCCGGCAGGAACAGCCAACGCTAAGGAGGTGGCTTTAGTAGCGATTATGACTATTTATAATCTGTCAGAGTCCTCTGAGCTGCCTCCAACGAAACCTCCATTGAGGAACAACCACCGATAGTTCTTTGGTAAAAACAAACAAACATAGTATTCCCTCTACATCCCGAAAGGACTCCTTTGAAATCTAAGTTTACCTTGAAAACCTCTGTCAAAATTGGCTGCAGTAGCTGAAACCTCACCTTTCCCTGAGAAAGGAGTAGGTCAAGATAGGACTCTCAGAAAGACAAGGAGATAATTTACCAAAAAGGAGAGGGGAGGGGGCAGAACAAAAAAGGGGCGGGGGGGGGGAGATACCAAGATCTTTGGCTTAGGTTTAATTTCAAATTAGTCTCAGTGGACGCTCAAAAAACCCCTAGCATTCTCTTGTTTGTGTTAGTGGATCTTCTGGGTTTACCAAGTTTGTTCTTCATAGAAGACAGCTCAACACAATTATTCCACAATTAGTCTACAGGGCATCTGCCTTTTTTTCCTTCCAGTGCAGGCCAGAAGTGCTTAGAGTTTGTGGAACGACCAGGTAGCGAAGGCTTCAGAGGCGGCCGACTTTAATTTTTTCCATCCCTTCTGTGTGGACTCAAGGTATGTAGTTTGCTCACTTCTCATTCAGATCTGTATCACAGCAAATAAAAGGTTGTTTCCCACCCGACTCCCCTCCCCCCACCCCCGCCACCAGCACACTCACACACACACACCCCAGATTGTAAACTCCAAGACAGTGACCCCATAGATAGCCAGAGCAGGAATGAGACAGCTGCGAATTCAGTAGCCTGTTCCTCACTAGTTTGTGCCCTTGAGCAAGTCACTTTACCTTGCTGGCCTCTATTTCTTCACCCATAAAGTCTCTAAGTGTGTGTGCTGGGGAGAAACAGGAGGATGATAATTTCCACCACCGGTGGTTACTCTGAGAATCAAAGAAATCACTTGATTATAAAAGTTTACTCAGAAATAAGGTTACCTTAGTGGGGAGCAACCCTTTATAAAAGGGGTCTTATTCAGAGCCCCTTTGTGGGAAGAGCTATTCCATCTTTGGAGAATTTCCCCATGGTTATGAATAATTTGAAGGTGGATTGAAGAAGGGGCAAAAGAACAACAGGGGAAATGTTCCCGGGTGTCCAGAATGCTAGCGAACAAACAGGATTCAGAATTTCTTTTAGCCAAGTATCTGTTTGTCCCTGTACTTTTCCTCTACCTATCTTCTGTCCAACATTTTTTTTTGCCTCCCTCCCTCCTCCCTCCTCTCCACCCCCCACCCCCTCATCAAGGAAGGAATTGGCCAGCTCCACCCCACCAGCCCCCCATGGCTCCACCCCCAACTCGGCAGGGCAAGAGTTAACAGCTGCACCTGTTGAGGTATACCTGCTGTCTCCAGCACCTGTACCCACAGCCAATCAGCGCCAGCACTGTCGGGAACCTACCTGTCAGCAAAATCCCGACACTCAAACCTCAACATAAATCAAACACTTCCCTGGGCAGGGAATGTCTGTGTCCGGAGAGAATTAGAGCGGAGCGGTCAGCAGAAGCCTTGGAGCCTGGGAGCCTGGGAGCCAGGGAGCCTGGGAGCCCGGGAGCAGGAAGATGTCGAATGAACTTGAGTGAGTAAACATCAGCGGATGCCTGTAGCTCGCATAGCAGAGGCTGGATGGGATTTCCAGCAGAGGGAAGAACGGGGAGGCCGGCGCCAGGATTCACAGAGCAATTTGTAAGGGTAAATGAATGGGCTGACGGTCTCGCTTTGGCGTGTCAAGGCAAGCCCCGTCTCAGGCTAGTGCTGAGTGTTTCCCTGGGAAAATAGTTTTTTTCCCTTTCTCTCCCTGCTGAGCAGTTTCGAGCCAGGTACAGAAACATGGGACTGAAACTATGAGGGCTTTGGCACCACTTTCTGATCCTCTCTGAAGGGGCTGTGGAAATCAGACTGTCCCAGTCCTGTTTAGGCTTACTATTGTCTTGTCAAAGGGAACTTCTCTGAGGTGGTTCTAAGAGCTGTCTTAAATAGAGAGTTGGGTTTCTTTAAAGAGACTTGTTGGGCTGGAGCAGTCCCAGGTAGGGAGAATGCAGTGTGGTGGTTAAATAGATGCCCTTTGTGGTCAGTTTGATCCAGGTTCAAGTCCAGCTCTGGCCCTCGTGGGCTGTGTGATTGTGGATACCGTGCAATATACCTGAGCTTTATTTTCTACGTCCAGAAAATGGGCACAAGAATGTTTTGTAGGAATTCTTGAAAGAGTTAAAGGCTGTAAAATGCTTAGCAGAGAGTCAAGGTCTGAAGATGCTTTCAATAAAATGTGGTTGATTTTATTCAGAGGCAGTTCTAAGGCTGAGGAACCTGAGATGTGGTTTTCAGTGAGGTCATCTCTGTTGCCTGGCAGGTTACAGGTGCCTTCCCGCCCACATCTGGGATTCAGAAATCCCACTGGTGGATGCCAACCTTTACTGTCTGCTTAGAGTTCAGATCTCAGAGAAGGTGGATGGAGGCTGGGATTCTGGGCTGCTTTAGCCTGGTTCCGAGAATTGACTGAGTCAGGCTTCTAAAATAGATTCTCTCTTCCTGCCACCTTCGGGTGTTTGGGCAGAGACAAGGGTTGAATAACTTTTGTCTTAACTACCTCTCAGTAGATTGTTTTATGAACTTGAACATTAAGGCCAAGCAGCTAATGGGTCCTGACTGTAAAGATGGTTCTGGTGATGCTCTCCAGGTCTTGGGTGTTCCTGTGTTGGTCAGCTCTGTCCATCACATGATCACTATGGTTCACATGCATCGGATTTCTCTTGAATCAATTCCCTGGAGTTGACAACACGTTGAGCATTGGACCACAATGAGAGTAAGGGCAAGGGCCTTCCAACAATGGGGTTTGAGTCTCAGTTCTACCACTCATTAGTGGTGTGTCCTTAGGCAAATCACTTCACTGCTCTAAATCCAATTGCCTGCCCTGTAAAATACAGCAACCATAGAACCTAACTTATGGAGCGGTTGGGGAATTCAACAACTTGAGATAAACTATTGTCTCAGAGGCTGGTAAGAAGTAAGCTAATAATACCATAGCTGCTTCATATAGAAATAACAAATGAAAATGTCTGAGCGTCTTGCTTTCTATTTTTCCATACTTCGAAAACAACATCTCTCTCTCTCTCTCTCTCTCTCTCTCTCTCTCTCACACACACACACACACACACTCACAATCTGAGTCTCTATTCCACATAATTCTGCTGATTAGCAGTCCAGAGCTGCACTGCTAGACAAAATAGGAAGATTTCCTATTTTGTCCTTAAAGATTTGGGTTTGCAGTGGGATTTCCAAATCCTTGAGACCTCTTTTTGGTGTGGGATTGGGGGCGGGGGACAAGTGCCTGCCAGTAATTGACCATCTGAGATTACAATGACAGAGCCTCAGAGCCTGGCAGCCCAATTCTCCCCACAACTTCTCTGGGGGGGGGGGGTAAGGGAAATGATGTAAAGTGTAAGGCCAGTAGTATTAAAGTGTTGCTGCTGAATTCCTTGACAAAGAAACAGTGCTAAGTTTAAAGGACATACTTTTGGGGACCAAGAGGGTAGGGCACTTGGCTTGCATGCAATCTTGTTCCAGGTATGTTTCCCCAAACCCCTCCAGGAGTGACCACTGAGCACAGAGCCAGGATTAAGCCCTGAGCATTGTCGGGTGCCCCTACTTCTCCCCCAAAATGACAGTCTTTTGAGTCCCTAAAGAATAGCCAATTCTTGCCAGCACGGAGGGAAAGGCCGGACTGGCATCTTGACTAAATTCTAGAGGAGACGAATCCCTGTCCTCAGTTTCCCCAACTTGTCCAATAAGGACTAGAAACACCCACCTGGCAAGGGAAACCATGAGCACCCATATGTGGGCCACAGATCCAGTGAAGGAGCCCCATAAACACAGCACCCTGTGATGGACCTCCGCTGGGAGGCCGGGCTGCCCAGGCCCAGAGGAGCACAGAGGCCAAAGCAAAGCAGCGCCCAGCGGCTGGCAGGTGGAGCTCACAGCCTTTCATGTGGTGAGGCCCAGCGCCTGGCTGGGAGTGTCCACCAGCCTGGAGGCCTCTGCCTGGCACCTCAAGGGCCTCCAGCCCTGGCTTTCCATTGTCTCCGGGGTAGGGCCACTCGCAAGGGATCTTGGGTCGGCTAAGCCTGGCTTGTCTTAAGCTCTGTGTGTCCAAAGCACCTTCTGCTCTTGTCCTGCCCCTAGAATAGAAACGATGAGCACTTAGTAGGAGGTCGGTCAAAAGTCAGGAAGAGAGCGTGAAGCGAGTAAGGCGCGCCAGGAGACCCCCTCTGCAGCCCCGCGCTCTCGGCAAGCTTCCACCCCAAGCCAAAATCCTCTCCCACCCCCAAGTGGCGGGGAGGGCTGGGGGGAGGACCAGAAACCCCGCAGTCAGCGTGCGCCGACCTCCGCGCTGCTGCATCTGATCTCCCGGAGCGCCGGGCTCCAGACGGCCTGGAGCGCTGAAAGAGTTAACCAGGAACGCCTCCCCGCTGTGGTTTTGTGGTCGAAACCATGATTGCCAGGAGCAAATTTTTGTCGTGCACAAGGTGTGTTATTAAAAGTCGGAGTTACGCTGTTGGTGAATGAAAAGTTAAAAGCCCTCATTAAGCGTGGGCTGTAAAACAGGCGGACTGGGCCGAGAGGCCGCGACTACCCTAACGGCGGCGGCGGTGGGTGCACGACGCTCCCTGAGGCTCCGGGCGCCCTGCGGGCAGCCCGCGCCCTCTGGCTGCGCGGCTGGTGCCTGGAGCCAAGCTTGTCTCCCAAACAGAGACAGGAGGGAGGCTGGGCCGCAGCGTCTGCAGCACGCTAGCTGCGAAGCTCGTCCTCGGCTCAAACCAAAATAACAGCCAAGCGTTTATGGAGGGCGCGCGCCGCAGCAGACGCTGGGTGCAGTGCCCGGTGAATGCATCAGCTCCTTAACTCTCCCCTGAGCCCCGAGGCGTGCGAGTCCAAACGCAGTTTTGCCGAGAGGGTTCCGAGCTCACTCTAGAGTCCGGATCTTAATGGGATTTTAACCATTAAGTTCTTCACTGGAAGTCCTCCCCCCCCCCCACCCCCCCCACCCCCCATGGCACTATTTTCTGTCTGCTCACATATCATAGGGATTATTTTTGGAGAAATAACGTTTTTCCCCCCAACTCAGTGTGTAGAATGTTTTCCTGTCACGCGACCTCCCTGGATTCAATCCCGGCATCCCATATGGTCCCCGAGTACTGCCAGGAGAAACTCCTGAGCACAAAGCTTGGAGTAGCCTCTGAGCATGGTCGGATATGGCCCCCAAAGCATAAATAAAAATGATGATCTCAAATTATGCTTCCGGAACCAGCACCCTCATCTGGGAAATTGTTAGAAATGCAAATTTTCAGCTCCACTCTATGCTTCCATTGGTCTCCACAGACCTAGCTGCTAGTTTCTGAGTCAACTGAGTTCTGGTGCTGGATAGTTTGGGTGACTTTTGGATGAGCTTCCTGACCTCTTAAGTGTCCATTTCTTCCGTGTAAAATGGTGATAGCAACAACAACCTCACAAAATAACTGTTATTGTACCCTTGGTAAATGGTGAACAAATCATTGAGTGAGGGGAAGGACATATTACTCTGGACTTTTTTCATGGATTTTTACTCCTTTAGAAACTTAATTGAATGAAAGAGAAGAGAGACAGAAGAATTTGGGGAAAGAGACAGAGAGAAAGCGAGAGAGAATAGAGGGAAGAATTTTTCAAAGGAGAGAAAGTGAGTTTCTGTTATCATCATAAAATTGTACATAATTAATTTAAATGCTACTGAAACATTGGTTGGAACCTGACTGCCTTCATTTTGCCCACCTGGATTCAGAGAGGAAGTTGGCAGCATTTGCCCTTCTTATCTGGGAATTCCCTCTGCTCTGGGAATCTCCAAGTGTCTTCTACTAGAAAGCAATGTCCCATATACAGGGGTAGGGATAGACTGACTTATCATATATTTTTCTGGGATCTACCTCACAAAGTGAATAATAATAATGATAAAAATATATTCTGGCACAGTGTTGATCATTATTAACAGTCATATCTCAGAAAGTTGTTGTAAAGATTAAATGACTGAAATTGTTTGCCACTAACTGGCAGCTGGTAGGCTGTCCATGAAGAGCAGTTATTCTGTGAGGTTAGTGCTTGCACCTTCCCCCATTCGACAGGTAAGAAAACTGAGGCACACCGCTAGTAAGCACGGAGCTTAAGCACGGAAGCCAAGTCTGGGGTTCACCCCATAACCATACTAACTCACATTACCTCATAAAAACTGAATTATCATAGAGACACACCTCAGGCACCACCAAATCCACTGTTGAAGCCCCCAACAGTGGAGCCCCTTAGCATGTGAAAAGGCACATTTCACAACCTATGCTTCCAGAAAACCAGATGGGCCACTGGCAAGCAGAAGAGCCCTGGAGCTTACTGTTCTGCCCAGGGAACACCTTGCATGGGACTGACTAAAAAAATGAGTCCTGGGTGAGCAGTTGTGGCAGGGCCTCCCTCTGGGTAATTAGCGTGATTGATCACCGTTGATGAGGCTGGGTGGCTCACAACAGGGCTTGGCAAGTATTTGGGTGTATCTATCTGAGTGTC